GTCCTGATAATTTGACTTTCATATGCAAAGTTCTGTATAGGTTTTGGAGGTGGTTGTTAGGGTTTTGTGTATAACTTGTATTATTAAGTTTGCATAAAATAGGAGTGCTAACCAATGTGAAAGTAATTATTTTGTCAAATGATTTGCAGTGTTGCAAACTTTGGCTCTCTCTAAGTGGGGGGAAAAAAATATTTATGTGAAATAAGTGAAGGGGATGGAAGCTAGGAACTAGCTTTCATGCATGATATGCACAGAACCATGCATTGAACTGGCTTTTTTCAAAGCATGAATGAGAAGTGTTGAGGTTTTTTGCTGACATGACAACACTGGGTTTGTTTTTGGTACTAATGGTTCACTGGCATTAGAGAATATTTCAAACTCAGCTTAACAACTTTAACTTCTATTGCTCACTAAACATGTAATTAAATTACAAAGTTGTCTCTTCTGTTTTGAACTTAAATTATCACTGGTTTTAACTTTTTTATCACACATGACTTGCAGGATTGCAAGATGTGTGAAAACGGTTTACTGTAGCCATATGCTTGTTGGCATGGAACTCGGGATGTTTCAGTAGGTTTGAAGCATGGGTGGTTGTGTGATGTGTGATTTTTCTTCCTTTACGAAAGGGATGTTGATTCTTGCCTAGACTACTGTTTCTGCTCTTGATCCCAGAGATTCTTCTGCAGAATCATTTCTAGTGGTTGCCTCGGGAAGGGATCAGGTTTGCAGGAGGATGGCTCCCTGAGATCTCTCCTTGATTGCTACCTTGCATCTAGCCTGCCCTGTTTTCTGGTGTTGTAAGTCTAGCTAGCTTGATACCTGCAGATTGAATGGCTTTATTGTGAGTTTGCTGTCCCAGATGGGTGTGTTCGGTGTGAAGGGGTTGCTGTTATCTGTGGGAGGGACACAGCTAAGAAGTCAATTTTCCCTTTATCAGCTTGATAGCTTCCTCATTAGAAGCTCCTGGGCCAGCAGGCCTGCTCTGCTGTTTCTCTGCAGATTTTAGTGATAAATGTGTGTGTTTAGGTCAGAGTGGCAAACTTCAATGCTGCATCTGAGAACCATGAGCTGCCTGTACTTCATATCCATATGCACAGTGCTCTGTAGTATACCATACGTGTGACAGTGCAATAAACTGGGGAACACCTGCAGTCTGGCTGGACTGCTGCCTAACCTCCCTTTCATGGGAAGGTAGCTGCTTTAATTGACATCCTTTCCTAATTGGCTTGCTTGACCTTTTTGCAGTCTGTTCTTGAACTTAGGGAGAGAACATCTATTGGGTTCCTCCCATCCACAAGCCAACTGCAGTTTTATTTTGCTGGTTTGCTCCATGATGGTTTTTGTTGGTTTTTGCTTGAGCAGGTCCAAAGTTTGTTGTCTTCAGTGCCTGAGGATTATCCATAGTTAGTTTTTGAGACATGCTTGGTCCTTACTTTTCAGCAAGTATGCTTGCCTTAAAAAAATACTGGGAAAGCCTGTGAGGAGGGATCAAAATCTGGGAATAAAGGCACTTGTGTGATTGACTTCAGACTCTTCTATTTGCATGATATTTGCAAGGGAGCAAAGGAATGGAAGGTCAAGCAGCTGCTGGTGATTAAAATAATCCCTGCAGAGAGTTCTCCCAAAACCTTGAGTTTCATCCACAGTAGTTGATTAGTATTCTCACCTTGCTTTTCAAAATGCAAAGGTGTGAAATTGTTTTTAGGATGTGATGAAATAAGATCAAATCAAGTCTGTTTCGTATACACAGCTAGAAGGGGCTCTGACTCAATCTGTGGGAGTGACAGTAATTGCACCCCAGGCAGCGTGATCTTCACTAGATGGTGATGCATGACGCTGGTTCATGGTGTAGCTATGACTAGGTAAGTACTGCTGGGAAGTACGGTGATGGTTCAGTTTCTGAGGCTAAAACACCAATGCCTTGTGCCTCCTTGACCCTGGGCAGTGGTGGTGTGTTGCTCATTTGCTGTGTAGTTTTGACCTAGTTTTATACTGCTGCTGAGGCAGATTTAGAAAGGGGTGGTTGTCAACAGCTTGTTTCAGTGAGTTGAGATCTGGTGGATGAGGAAAGACACTTTTAAGCACAATGGTGTTGATGACCTCAGAGTCTGGTGGTGATATGACTTCCTACAAACCTTTGAATTTCTCTGTAGAGTTCACAACAGTAATGCAGCACGATTTGTGTCTGTTGCATGTGGTTGAATGGAAGAAAATGCTTTTTTCTGTTCAGGTTTTCTTATAGCTGGTACTTGTTCAAAACTCTGCTTTTCCTGGGAGATAGGAAGTGGTGTTCATACTCTGGTATGTGAGTGTTAGTGTGTGAAGGAGTTTGGGGAGCTTTTTAGAGAACTGCAAAGGGAGGCAATATATTCCCACCAAAGCTGCTGAACAGCAAAAGCTTCTGTGAGCCCAGAGGCACACGTGCTTTCTGTGAAGTCTGTTTTTAATCCTTTAATTAAGAGATGTAAGAGGAGTCCTTCTCCCTCACTAATCGGTGGAACGTCCTCCTTGCTGTCAGCTTCTCCTAAAATGCCTGACTAGCAGTGGGTGCCAGTCTGGGCTGCTCTCCTCCTTCCCCCCTGCCCTGGGGGTCTCTGAGCATCTGTGTTCCTCTAGCTCACTATGTGGGAATGACACAATGCAGCTTTTCTTGCTCCTCAACTTCTTTTAGTGGTAATTTGAAACTTACCTTTTTTTCATGACTCTTATTACACAAGCATATTGTTCTTAAACTGCTCTTGTTTGGAAGGTTTTTTGGGTGGATGTAGCAGGTAGAGGGCCACTTGCTGTCTCTCTAGAAAGGCAGAACTGGTTTGGGTTGCAGTGGGGAGATTTTTCTTCCCCTTCCTCAAACTCAGCCCTTCAGTTCATCAGACACAAGATAAAGAATTATTTTTCTCATTTTGCTTCACTTAAATTGGGAGAAGGGGGTCAGCATTGCCAATGAACCCACCTCTCCTATGCTTGCAATAGTAGCAGGGAAGAAGGATCACAGCTTTTAGCTAGCAGGTGGTCATCTTGTTCCACATTTAAAGGATTATTGACTGGATCTTATGCTTTTGCGTATTTAAGTACTGAACTGTGAATGTATGCACTACTAAAGCTTACTTAAGGACCCATTTAACTTCCCAGAAGAATAAGGCTTGATTTCTCAGATCTGAGGTTTGCTGCACAGCGCAGGGAAGGCTGGTATTTCAACACGTATTTTAATATTGTGTGTTTCAAGAAAAGCTTGTTTAAGCTTCCCAAGTCAGTGAGAACCAGTCTGTTACCTTCTTGATCTTTGCATCCTCCAACCCAGTAACCTTTGCTTCAGATCCAAAAATAACCGAAGCAACCAAGAAGGGTTTTGGGAGAGTGCTTTCTGGCCCTTATTAGCACAGCTGCAAGCAGAAGAATTTGTAAGTCCTGTCCTCTCAAAAAATTACAGTGCTAGGCTACATATTTTTATAAAGAAACTATCCTTGACTAAAAGACTGAGACAATAACTTCAGCGGAGGGCATTATGACTCAGCTTTTGGAATTGGCTTAGTCTAAAACCTACATCTATTGCTGAATGATTAAGGGTGGGTGCAGAAAAATAAGGAAATAAGGAAAAAACACCTTGTAAGTCATGGTAGTGTTGGTCTTAGAGGCTGCTTTAAAATAGTATAATTTGAATGTTATCTTAATTTTTAGATGTGAGAATCAGCTCTGCAGTCTGAGGATAATGAGCTAGTCTTTTTAAAAAAAGTTGATATCCTAACTTTGAAATTTATGGGAGATACGGTTTTAGATGGTGGCAGTCTGACCAAACTGCAATTAATAATTAATAATTATTAATTAAATACTGCAATTAATTACAGTATCCTTCAGGTACTGTTTTGGTTTTTATGTTCTAAGTGGAGAAGTAATTTCTGCCACTTCCTGCTATGCAAAATAAAAGTACCTTAGTTAATAATGGCTGTAATTAAGGACTTGGAAACATTTGCCATGCTCTCTTGTTTCCACAAACTTGTGTTCATGCTCTCCAAAGCAGCAATGGTGCAAGTGTTTGGCATAACACGTCATGCACCAGCAAACAGTTGTACTGAAAAACTTTTGGGATGTAAGCTGCTTGTATCCAAAACTGATGAAATGCTAGTGCTGTTATGTCAAAGATCTGATGTCCAACTGTCAATGATGTGTTTAAGCTTTGAGTGGTTTTGAGTGTCTGTGGCTCTTAGAGCATGTCTGGCATCTTAAATGTCAGTGGAAGCGGACGCTTTGTGAGTCAGGGTTGATTTTTCTGTGGTATGATGGACAGGTGGGTTTGTGCTGTTTTGCTATGGAGATGCGATGGGGATTTGTATGATGAAGTTTTTTCAAGGAGCTCTCCATTGTGAGTGACTGAGGCTGGAAGGAGGGCAGGATGGTTTGCAGCCAGAGTTCTTTCCAAAGTGGCTCCTCGTGGAGTGTGGGTGTTTCTCTCCAATGTGCTAACTGGCCTGGTGGAGGACTTGTTGGGATTGTTGTGAGGATATAGCAGTACCTTCATTACTTTAAAACAAAGAAAATAGTGAATATTTTGAAATGATGTATGAATATTGGATGTTAACAGTTTCTCGTGGCTGAAGCTATAAATCTCAAGGCTACTTTGGACTGGCCCCTTTATGTACAGCTGAAAGAAAAGACGTTGCCTCTCAAATAGGGAATACAAACACTTCGATCTGGGGGATGGAAGCGAGTCCTTTTTTTTTCCTCCTTCAGCTGTAGGCATTAAGACTTTACTACTGCATCTTTATTTTCCCACAGATGCTTTTTTGCTTTCTTAGTTTGGGCAGTTGGGTCAAGTGCAAGCACATGCAATACGTTTTTGCCCTGTCTACATAAATGCTGCTACTCTTGTGCCATTTATGTTCTGTAGAGTTAAGGCAGCATTGTGTCTAAAGTACCTGATATTTTGATCTTTTTGGTGTTTTTAAAATTTCCTATTGCGTCACATCAGTAGTGAACTGACGCTCCTTTTTTCTCTTTTTCAGCCAGATAATGAAATCTCTTCAGACTGCAATCATGTAAGTATTGCTTTGTTTTATTCAGTCTCTAGCTATGGCACTTGCACCTTATATCCCTTCTCAACCTTAAGAATTTTGCATAGTGTGGTAGTTTGCAAAAGACATTCATCAGGACACATTTGGGCTTCTGTACTGGCCTGTGGGGGAAGAACACATGGCGGCTTCTTTAACCCAGTCTAGCCACTATGGCCTTACTGGCGGGCTTCCAGAGTGGAACATATCTAAGAGCTTCATAAACTGTACTTCTGTATCAGAGGAGGATAGCAGATGTCTTTCCTATTTTATGATTGGGGGGTGGTTCCCATGAGTTACTGGGAGCACTATGATGTGCTTTTGGGAAAGATGTGAGCAGTACTGAATTTAAACTCAATTTCAGCTGTTGAAGCCTTCTGTGTTACTTTCACAGCTGCTAAATTCTTGTTTGGAAAATGCTGTGGGAGTGTGATATTTAGAGGCAGTTTGAACCACTTGGCTGATTTTAGAACAGATTTCCTCTCAGCACTGTGTTTAACAGTGAGCAAACTGTTAGCCAGTTTTCAGGCTGTCAAGCTGACTCTTCAAATCCTGAGACTCTAGGAAAAAAAAAATATTATCAGAGCTAAGGTTGGTATTAGGCTTCCTTTGGCTTCTGTCATTTGTATTCCGTTAGAATACACGGTCTCAAGATCCTTAATTGTTTGGTTAGCCCTTGACACAGACAGGCAAGTGCATGTCTCAGTGACAGGCTTGGTTTCAGATGCTTGAAAAGCTGTATTTTGCTTTATTATTGGGAGATATATTCCAGAAGTGAAACCTGGCCATGTTGTGCAACTAGTAATTTCCAACTGTGTTTATAAATTAACCTTTAGGACTGTGCTGCCTGACTTCATGGCCACTGTATTTCTCTGTTGTACAGGGTTGGATCAGATGAAGGGCATATCATGTTCCTGTTTAAGTCTTTTTTTTTTAAGTGAAAACTTCAGTAATTAAAATTTATATACCTGACACTTAAATGTGCCAACAGAAACTACCTGAATGAAGAAATTGAGCATTCTAGAAATCAAAGTTGGACCTTGCTTCTGCTGGATTAAATGACAGCATATCTGCCCCAAGGCAGATGTCAGGCTGCTGTGGATTATAGAAGCCATTTGGGAATAGGAAGTGTGGGCAAAGTCTCATTTTCCCATCAGAAATTGAAGGAGTGATCAAAAGCTAGACCACAGAGACGCATCTCATGTCCGTATGTTTTCTTTGCCTTTCTTTGCAGTCTTTGGTAGTACAACTGCTGATCATCCCCTGGGAAAATATTGACCAGTGCTAAAATCTGGATGATTTTTTTTTTTAAGTTGCAAGTGTAACCTTCCTTCTGTCTGTGGCAAAGTTCCTTTGGAGAGCATCTCATTTCGAAACTCTTAAAGTTTGAGATTATGAATGCAGAGTTGTATTCTTATGGTGTTGGACCTCATTCTTGTCCTTCTGATCCTGGCTGGGAGAGGTCTATAGCACTCTTTGCAAGGCCAGGTTCCCTGTTTGTTTGGTTTTATCTATTAAACCTGCATATTTACAACTTCTTACTCCCTCTGAAATAGCTGAGGATACCACCATCTCCTCTTTTTAACTTTTTGCAACTCCACAACGTGAGGTGTGAAAGGTGGCGTAGCTGTGCTGATTCCAGTTTTGGTTCTCTGTGTGTGCTTCCACCCTCTTGGTGATGTAAAACTGCTCTCTGGGTGTGCAAGCATGTTTTCATGTTTTCTTAATGTTTTGTGTACAATTGAAACCTCAAAATAAAAGTTTGACTAAACTGTTTATCCTTTTTGATATTAATTTGATGTTGTCATAAATGCAGAATACTTGAAATTAATTTTTAAAACTTTTTATTAAAAATGGTTAAATGCAACTTAAGTTCTTAGAAGAAAATCGTATGGGCTAATAGAGCTTCTCTTGGGCAACATTTCAGCTATTCATTTGCTGTGGTTTTGCTATCTTACCCTGTATTTTTACTTTATGGTGCCTCAGGAGGGCATCTGGGATATATATATCTCTGCAGAGTGTGACTTGCCCAAGATTGATTCTTGTACAGTGACTTCTAGGTCAGAGGCTAGCCTCTAGGCTCCTACTTGAGCTAAGCTCTAGCTCCTAGAGGGACAGTCGCCTTTACTGAGGTTTGCAGTCTAACCTCTAATGTATCATTGTGCTTAGCAAGAGAGAGAACTTCCTATAGGTTTGAAATATATCTGCGTCCAAAAAGTTCTCTGGTCGCAGCCCCTCACAGAAGGAACCAGCTGCATTGTCTCCGTCTTTTTTTTGCTAGGCTTTTATTAGTTTTTCAGTATGAAATATGCTCATCTTAAGGATTTACTTTCTGTTAAATCATTTGCATCAGGCAGACAAACCATGGCACAGAAAGGCGTGGTGGGATAAAGATGCTGCTAAATATGCAGCAGGGAGCAAGTTACAGCTTTCATTGTTTTATCCTTTCAATTATGAAATAGTCTTCAATTAGATATTTCCTTTTAATGAGTCGACTCATGACCTTATGGAGAGATTTCTAGCTGCCTGAATTTGTTCAATATGACAAAATTGTTGGAGAAATTAAGGGACAAAGCTATTGTCGAGGAGACTTTGCATTGATGGTTGCTCTGTAGAAGGGTGATGATACAGTCTGGGAATAAATGATGTTTCATTCTTTTTTGAAGCAAAATATTTGTCATTCTCCATGGGAAGCTCTTAAACCCCTTTTCTATAAATGCTCTCTCTAGCTCTTGTGGAACTACAAGTTGAACCTGACTACAGATCCAAAGTTTGAATCCGTGGCCAGAGAAGTCTGCAAGTCCACTATTGCAGAGGTAAGCCAGAAGAAAGGCATGGCTGCTGTTGTGGCACTAAGGTGTTTTTAATTTCTTTGTGATAGTGAACTAGTGTGTAAATAATGTTTTGGGTTTGGGGAAGCTCTAGTCTTACATGCCGAATTACTAGGTGTAATTAATTCGACCTCCTTGCAGAAAAAGCCAGTTACCTTAGTGGTGCCAGGCAAAGGGGTGGGAGAAAGAAATGATAAACTAACAATCCATCAGCTCTTACCTGACCTTTTATCAGAATCTGGTGTGGATTGGATTTGTTTCCTCTTCGACAGTTGTAGCAGTGTTGATGTATAGAATCATAAAGGTTGGAAAAGACCTCTAAGATTATTAAGTGTTCATTTTGAGAGGAATACACAAATGGAGGGTGTCAACAGCCTGGCTTCAAAAGTTTGGGAATTAGTTGAGGGGTAATCAATTGCTTTTTCTTCATGGCCTGCTAGGGTTCTGCTTCCCCTTCTCAGCACTAGCTGAGTTGTGGTAAGAATAGCATTAGTGGGAAACAGTCATTTAGTGTACAGAGAGGTCCATGAAATCATTAATACAGGAAGGCTAGAACATCAAACAGAAGGAAAACAGCTTGCATTGAAGAGTTACGTTGTGTTTGGAGTTTGGTAGCTCTCAGGAGCAAACACTGCCAAATCTATTGAATCCCACTCTTTTGCAATCGTAGGAAAGATTATATTTTTCTGGTTTATGTCATTTAGCTGCTGCGGAATTTTTACAATCAAGACATTCTTGAAAATACTCTTTTAACAGTCTGTTTAATTACCACTTTTATGTGGTGACAGTCTGGCATTGTTGTAAACGATGCCCTCTAAATGTGGGATATGATTTTGAAAAACAGTGGGAAGACTATACAGAATTTTAGCTGTACAGTAACCACCAGTGTTCCTCTTACAATTGTGGTGAACGATGATGTGAACCGCTGGTAGTTTGCAATTGGTGAGCAGCTTTTAGTTAAAGGAAAAAAGCTGTATAAGAAACAATCTCATGTGTTTGATCCTCTGATATTTAATAGAGGCAGGTGCACTAAACCATTCCACTAATTCTTTAAAGGTACTTCTACAACACTCTTTGAACCTAAGATATATAGTGGGCATATACTGCTAATATATAGTATTAGTCTATTAATATTTTTCTTTAATTCCCACTAACAGGTGTTTTCTTGCTGGGTGACTGAGCTCTGATTTTAAGTATTGCTGTATATTAAGAACAAAATACATCTAGAAGAGTAATTTCTAGTAAAAGTTATTTGGGAATTGGTGGCTGCACCAGCTGGGTATGTTTAGAAAAGTGGACCTTTAATTTTATCAGCTAAATACAGATTTAAATTTCAACTTTTTTTCAACTGTTGTGATCTTTAAAAGTTCTGGGAATAGTTTTTGTCCAGAATTATAGTTGGCTACCAGATAATGGCAGTTGCTTCAGAAGTGGCCAGGCAACAATGTGATCGCTTGGTCTTTTATGTAGTTCAGTGGCGCAGGCCATGGAGCTCTGGGGCTGTTTCCAAAGCCAGGCTCTTCCAAAAACAGCATGTTGCTGTTGCATGCTGGTTTGGCTTATGGTACTTGAGCTGAAGTAGGGCCAAACCAAAGATGCGGCTTTCTTGGAGAAAGCTTGCTTGACTCTCTCCTTTTCAACCTGCAACAAATCATAGGTATTTTCACTTCAAAATGTATTTTATGCCTTATCTGTAACAATTACGTTGATCTTAGTAACTCGTGTTTTTTCTAATGGTTGTGTAGATTAATTACAAAATGTTCTACCAGCCTACATCTGCCTTCAAATAATGGTGTTTAAAATGTTGCATGTTTTATTTGTTATATAGAAAGTAATGGTCTCATAAGCTGGGGCAGAGGGAGGTTTTGTTCATCTAGTCTGACCTGTATGAATCTGTCACAGGATGCCCCGAGTTAATTGCTGCTTGAATTAGAATATGTCTTTCCGGGGATGGCTCTCCATTTTTTAAAAATTTTCCAGTACAAAGATTCCAAGTTGGTATTTGAGAACTGCTAAAATGGCTCCCTGCCTGTTCCCATAGTGCTGCCCTTGCTTGATATCTGAACCTGCCTGGATTATTGATTGCCATGGATCTCCCTTTAGATTGATGAGCCCCTTCAGTATTTGTACAGGAACAAATCTTTGATGTAACCAAGTCAACCCATGTATCTGTTGCTTGGAAAGTCACCACTGAACTTCAGTGTCTGGCTGTCAAACATGCTTTCTGTGTCATTTTGGCTGCAGTTTTCAGCATGCTCCTGAACAGGGAACACCAGAACTGGCCAAGTATTTCAACACGGGCTTCCCAGGGTTAAGAAGAGTCTGTATAATCTCAGTACTCCTTGGAGCGAGGCATTGCACTGTTCCTATCGCAGTATTCCTTGGGGAGTGTCCTTAACTGATAAGCAACCATGTTTTCCACGTCCTTTGGAAAGACACTGTCAAAACTGCCTGCATCTTTTACTTCCAAAGGTGATGTTTTTGGCCTAACTGCCTGCTTCCCTGAGCAGTGCAGGCTGTGACATATATTGGGGACCTATCTGTTCGTGTACGCTGCTTTTTCCAGTCCCTGCACAGCTTTCAGCTTTTGTTAGCCGTGATTTTTTTTTTGACCACTGCATAAAATGGTTTAGTATCAACCATCAGTTCCTATAAGAGCCTGATAAAAAATTACTTTGAGGATTTTACTTTATAGTAATTTTCAGCTTCCAGCAAATTATAAACAGGTCAATAAATACTATGTTGACTTTTGAATCTGTCTCACTTCTAGCCAAAATGTTATATTGTATGAGGTCAGGTGGCTAATGGGGGTCCAAGTATGATTTAGTGATGCTGTAATGTGCTCAGTTTTCTAAATAAAAGTTTGTCAAACTAGCATTTTTCCTACAAATCCATTTGATTGCAGGCCTTCCATGTGATTATTATGGAAGATGATTATTGAGCAAGAGGGTTTATAATCCTCAAGGTCGCTGCATTTGCTTTCTTCAGGTGCTGGCACACATGAGGTATTTTTCATTTCTGAAGTATTTTCGAGTATTCTGACTTACTAAAAATCAAACTAAAGCCTAGAGGGTTTCTTTGCCGGCAGGTTTTGAAGCTACAGTTGCAAATTTCTATGAGGATTTTTTTTAAAAAAGGGTTAAATTCAGTAGCTGCAGCCACTGTTGTTTGTTTTGGGTTTTTTTTTAACAGATCAAGGAGTGTGCAGATGAACCAGTTGGTAAAGGCTTCTTGGTGTCATGTTTGGTGGATCACAGAGGCAACATCACTGAATACCAGTGCCATCAGTACATCACTAAAATGACAGCCATTATCTTCAGTGATTATCGGTTGATCTGTGGCTTCATGGATGACTGCAAGGCTGACATCAATCTCCTGAAATGTGGCAGCATTCGACCTGGAGAAAAGGTATCCAGAGAACATGTAGATCACCAATAGGCTTGTAAAAGTCATTATCTTAAGGAAACTTATGTGGAGACTCTGCAACAGCACTGTTTTCGTACTTGCAACTGAGAAAATACATGGCATATCTAACTTGCCTGGAAAAGGTGATGTCCTGATTCTGTATAGTTCCTTTTTAATAAATATGCATTTGTTCCTCTATGAGGGACTGCTGTTCAGAGACAACTTTCATTTGTCTTTCCTTCCCTTAGAGCATCACAGGTGATCTGGTAGGTAGTTGTCTTTTTGATCACGCTCTGTCAGGCTTGGCTTGATATGGTGAATCCAAACAATAGATTTAAGCAGACTTACTGCTAAGGCTTATTTCACAGTCTTGTCGGGTCAGATGCAGGAGGGTTATCACGGTGATGTGGCTGGTGCTATAACCCTTTCTGCTTTCTCAGGCTGTCGTTGATAGACTGGATCAAGAGCTTTTATTTGTTCACTTCCCCTTTCCCCTCCCCACCTGAAAGCAGTTGAAGGGCAGGTAGTACCCAGTGTCATATTTTACTTGTACAGACTTTAATACTGTAGTAGTTTTACTAAGTAAATCAGCATTCTTTTGCCATACAAGATTTACGTGGAGGTTGATGCAAAGAAGTTTGTGGTGACTGCATGTGGGGCTATTCTCAAGGCACTGTCTTTTCCCCGTGTACTTCAGCATAGCTAATGCAGGCAGCAACTATGTAGTGCTGTAGGAATGAGTGGCTTCATTTACAGTAAGTTTTTATATTTAGGGATAGTTAAAATACCATCTTTTTATAGTGCTTTTCAAATTATAGCTCTTAAATTTTTAAGAATTAATCTCTTAAATCAGCTATTAATGAAGCGGTAAAAAGATTTAACAAAAAATACACACTTTTTGGGTTAAAAAAAGTTCCTACTTTTTTGAGATGTTAGCTGCTGTAAGCAGTTTCAGGTTCAGAGTGTGTTAAATGGAAGTACTAGTGTATTCCAGAAGACTTACCTGAACAACAGAAAGCAGAAAAATAAGGACTTGCTTTCAAGCACAAAAGCAACTATAGAAGTGGGAGGAACTTACAGGCACTACAGGTTCAGACTGGTAGCAGCTGAGTAACTTTCTCCATAAAGCAAAGGCTTTCTTCTAATCCTGGGCTGAAGGACCTCATGAAATAAGAAATTGTTTTGAACAATAAGTATAGAATCACAAGTGTAATAATGGGAGTCATGTCTGCATATTACCTGTGGCCTGATTAAAATAAATTAAAACTTATATACTTACCGTAGTGTGTATTTCGTGAGCCTAAGACAAATCTGTGGTAGAAGTGAAACCACTGCTGGCAGGCTTGTGTGCACAACTGCATAACCCACTGTATCGGTCACAGAAGTTAAGACGAGTGAAGGGTGAGGATGGCCGGGGGGGGCTAAGGTCGCAAGGGAGAGGGAAATGAACGCAAACTTTGGGTCACCAAATGTCTGTGGCATAGCAAAGGCAGTCACTGCCCAACCTTTTATGGGGGTTAGTGTAGTTTATGCGTATTCCTCACTTTCTTGGTACCCAAACTAGAATATTTTGCTTTGGTTTGTGAGAGCATTGCAGCCTGTCGGATGATTTCTTTTGTTATGCTGTCATCCTTGGCACTTAGAGCAATTAAAGTATTTTGTACTGCTATGGAAACAGCTATAAATGGCTATGCAAGCATTTCTTTTGTTGTGTTCTGTTCTATCTCTTTTCTGATTTGGAGAAATCTCATCTAATTTACCCCCATCAGATGCTGGTTCAGGTTTTATTGCCACGCTGTAGCTTCTGAGAGTTGCCTGTAGAGAAACAGTCATTACCCTTTTGTGTGACTGAATGTAACTGTGAGTTTAATAAATAGGACCTGGATACCTGAGGAGGAAGATATGGGGGAAGAGATTCATATCTCTTGTGGGAATAAGCATGGGTAGACTACTAACTCCATCCACATCAGTCAGCTAGTAGATTGCAGTTATGATAGCTTAATCATAGTAACTGGGATAGACTGGCTTATTTTTAACTGTAAAAGGCACTTCAGTAGGTATTGTGGAATTACATTGCTTCTTGAAGCCCTTCTGCTAGCTAACCATTTACTTTTTCTATACTTTTTTATTTCAGCTCATGTTCCACTTCCTAACTTTCTGCTTCACAACTGAATTCTGTTCCTGCTGGGTTTGTTGCTTCTGATGTGGTGGTTTTTGTTCTTTCTTTTCCATGTTTCTTGTTGGTTTCCTGCTCTGTAAGAGCTATGAAGTTCAGCATAGAGGTCTCAATCTGACTGTAGACTTCGTTTTGCTGCATATAGCAGAAAGGCTGTAGGTATTCTGGAATTACATTGCTTCTTGAAGCCCTTTTGCTAGCTAACCATTTACTTTTTCTATACTTCCTTTTTTATTTCAGCTCATGTTCCACTTCCTAACTTTCTGCTTCACAACTGAATTCTGTTCCTGCTGGGTTTGTTGCTTCTGATGTGGTGGTTTTTGTTCTTTCTTTTCCATGTTTCTTGTTGGTTTCCTGCTCTGTAAGAGCTATGAAGTTCAGCATAGAGGTCTCAATCTGCCTGTAGACTTCGTTTTGCTGCATATAGCAGAAAGGCTGTAGATGTGTCATTTGAAAGGATTAAGTTTTGTGATACGCCTATGTTGCAGGGTGGGTTGGGTTTTTTTCCTTCCAGTTAACGGAGAAATATTTAACAGTAGTTTTGGTCACCTTTCCCACTGACTATTGTGCTTCATAGTGAATTTGATCTCCTGGCATTTAAAGCTTGCTTTGTCCTCATGCAATAGGGATCTAATTTGAAATTGGAATTGGTAATTGCAATGGACCTTTTCTTCTTGGACTGGCTATCGGAATGAGCTGCTTTCCTGATCCTGGTAACGTCCAGGATTGTATCAAACTAGCGGGGGGTGCTGGAGTTAGCCATGATGTCCAAACTGAAGTTGATTATTTGCCATAATGAAGGCTATTTAAGTGTCAGTTGCACACCTGTTGTAGTGCTTTATCAGATAATAGTATGTTTCAAATTCCTAAAAAAAGACACATTAGGAAAGCATTGTTTTCTTGCTTTTTCACCCCTAAGTGCTTTGAGTGCAGTTGCTCTTACTCTTTAGTTCTGGACACAGAGGGGAAATGAGTCTAAATGGGAAGTGATGATAATGTTCAGCTCAGTCTTTGTTTACTTAGTGTAGTATTATAGCAGTGTACTATCAGTTGAAGTACGGGGAATTAGGTAATCTAGGAGCCATTCCCACAGCCCCGGTGCCCGGGTTGGCCAGGTAGAGTGCTGAGCTGGAACTCACAATAGGTCTGCTGGGCGTTTTTCCATACTCTGGCTGCTCTGGCTCCAGCAAGTCAGCACAGCCATTCAGTGCAAGGTGCTGTGCTGATGAGAAAGGTTACGTTTTCTCCTCCTGCCTGCTGCTCCTTTCTACTCTTGACTCTTCTCTGGTCTCTTTTCTAGCTTCTCTCTGCAAGTCTGCAGCTAGAACAGTCAGACACTCGAGGCATCTCAGGTTTCAGACAGAACAAAGTCTTCTCCAGGGGAGCTTCTGACAAAAAATAAACAAGAATTGCAAAGCCTAAACTATTCTGTGGAGCAAATCTCTCAGGCATAGAATGAATAGTAAAAACAAATTCTGTCTTGGCCTAAGGCCATATGCCTGGAGTGTGAATTTTGGTCATAGGAATGAAAATGTCCCAAAGCATTGTGCTAAGGCGGGTTTGCTTGGGCACATTTAGAACTTAGTTCCATTTCTTGATGGCTCAAAGTCCTGTAGGACAGTACTGAAAAGCTGCTTGAATCCTTTGTGAATCTAAATGTATTCTTTCATAAAAGCACGCAGAGTTTCAAGGCACTCCAGACTAGATAATTATCTAGTACGTCTAACAGATCTCTGCAACTTTCAGTTAAAATTCTCATTCGAGATTGATAGTGGTGGTGAGGCAACAATTCCAAGAAACGTGTGTGGCTTTTTGATCTAATCTCTTCTATTTCAGTGTGTTGCACTGGAGAAATAGGGCCCAGACTCTTGTCAGCCCCTGCAGCAATTTTGGGGAGTCCTGACTTGTGGCATGAACTTAGAGGCCTTCAACTCTAAAGGTGGAGGTTTTCCGACAACAGGATGCTGGATAGAGGAAGAGCTTTGGGATTCGTTTCACAGCAGAGGTGTAGCAGGCATTTATACTTTTGTATACATCAGGCAGCTGGTGCTGGAGCAGGACTGGGAGAGCTCACACTGTGAGCCTTTGGTGCCTCTGAAGCTGAACTGGCCCCGCAGGATGGGTGGCACATGGAGTGCAGGTGGGAGCAGGCAGCTCTGCATGGTGTAGAGCTGCAAAATGGTGCAGATGCTGCAAATGTGTGTCAAAGGTGTCCTGCTATCCTTAGGTCAAGCCTGTCAAACTTTTGATTGCCACCTGCTTTAGAAAAAGATGGATGAATGCAGCTGTACACATGGTTGTTTTCCCCTCCAGTCTGCAATAAGAGATTGTACAATCTTAAATACAGTAGGTGTTAGCCTATAATTAAAAGCTTGAAGTGATACTTCTCTAATACACATTTATAAAGTCCCATCTATATTCCGTTTGGCCAGTAGCCTGGCTGCCTTCATGCACTTTTTGAAGAAATTAAAAGTTAGGACGTCTATATTCCGTTTGGCCAGTAGCGTGGCTGCCTTCAATGCACTTTTTGAAGAAATTAAAAGTTAGGACCTCCTTAAGCTGGCTTAACTAGTCAGCACTAGCACTCAGGGAGCTGAACTGCCTGAAAATGAACTCCAGATTAGGTCAGTAAATCTCCTAGACAGCCTCAAGTGGGCACAGGAACACTAATGGCACCACAAGAAAGCATGTAAATGCTTGGAGGTAGAAGGAAAGGGCAGGACTGCATCTTTTATGAGCCAGCTGTGTTGACTTGTGTGTTTCCATTTCTGTTAAATCTGGTATGTTTTAAAATTGGTCTAATACAGGGCAGCAAAGTAGACAGCACTGCAAGATGATCTACTCAAATGTAAAAATTGTATTTGCAAAGTAATGCAATGAATTAGTTATTTCATGTTGTGTCCCTGAAATGCAATAGTAAACATTTAGCATCTGGCATATGGAAATATGCTTTCACCAGACTATCAGCTTTATGTAACATGACTCTGACCAGGAATCTAGACCTATGCCACAAGAAACCAGGAAACCTGATTTTTCCTAGCAGGACAAGCTTGTCTTGTGCCTTCCTTGCTGGCTTGAGGGGAGGCTGCAGGTGAGTGAGAATAGTCTTGGCCTGCCTTGCCTCCCAGCTTCCACCTCACCTAGGCTGGAGCAAAAACTGTTTAAAATGGTTGTTTTCAGTCATTTACGCTTGCCAGCTCCTCAGTTGTAATTACTGCCTATGACCACAAGGATTTGCAGACCAGTGTTTGTGTTTGGCATGGTTATGGATAAATGACAATTTTAAGTAATCTGGTGAGTATACTACTAACTAGTATTCCTCACATCCTTTTTGGATTCAGCCCTAAAGGGACCGTTGAAATATCATTATTTCTTCAAAGATGCTGATATCTGGCCAGCGTGTGGAGTTGACTAGTTCCCACTCAAAGAAAAGAACAAACCAAAATATGGAGTTTTGGGGTCTGTGGTTTTGGGGTGCTTTTGTGTTTTTTTTTTTAAGGGAAAACTACTTTTAGTTCTTTTAAACTGATGATACTTCTGGGTTGTATTTACAACTTTAATTAGCCAATTCTTCTTGTGCTCCAAGTGTAGCAGAGTTAAAACAGGAATGAAAGGCTGTTTGCCTGAAGAGACATGTCAGAAAAAAAAGATTTGGAAGAGTTGCATGGCTTTGAATAGTCATGGTCATGTTTTATGGGAACTGCTGTCTTACTCATGCTGCTGCAATGGCAGTGGATGAACCTACTTGACAGAGCGAGCTGAAGGGATAGCTCCTAAGTGGTTACTGCAAATGCCAGGTTGAGTGATTTGGATGTATGCAAATCTTCATGCCTTGGTGTATACTCCAGATAGTCTGATATAAGTTTAGCAGCAGTATCCTCTCACAGCAGAGCAGCATAAATTAAGGTGGTCTTCACAGGAAAAACTTGCAGAAGCCTTGAGAGATCGGTTCCAGAAGAGTTCTTGTTTGTTAGAGGAATGAGACCTCCTACAGAGATAGATGGGTGGTAAGGTTCCCTTTCTAAACATGTAAAAAGGCTGTAGGAAACTAAACGGAGCTTTGATCAGCTTCACCCTGCATCTTCTGGGCTTTCATATAAAGCACAGGCTGTCTATGTTTGGCAGTCACTGGTGATAGTCCAAAGTTGTCTTCAGGCTTGCAGGACAGTAGACGTGGCATACAGTATTGGGCCAGAACTGCTTTGTCCCGGATTTCGTCTACTCTTGAATTCTTTGAAGGTTTTTTTTATTCTCTTAATGGAAGAATTGAGAAGCCTATGTTGGTCAAAGCTCCTTTGTGGCCTTTTTAGCATCACTAATTATCACCACCCAAACTGAAGGCTTGTCTCAATATGGAGGAACTATGATTTTTCTCTCCCCCAGGTATGTTCTTAATGTGATGCTGTTGCCGTGGTGCAGAGCGCGCTATGTCGGATTAAAGATAATTTGGCTGTTTTGGTAGACTGCTCTGAGCAGTGTGACGAAGTAGTGATAATCTCATTAAGTCACAGTAGAATAGACCCAGAGCATTGGAGGAGGTGATTTCATGGTGACCATCAGCAGGATGGTGATGTGTAGAGTGTGTGGATAGTACAGATATTAACTGTTGCCTCTTCTGAATGTAAATGCAGTTTAAGGTGAACTTTTGGAAGTCTATATGTAGACAGTTTGTTACTTAATTTATATGGTGCTTATCCAGAATCACAGGCTAGTTGATTATGTAAGCGCTTGATTACAGATGTTGTCTTGCTCTTCTCGTGTAGGATGCCCACTCACAAGGAGAGGTGGTGGCGTGCCTGGAAAAAGGCCTGGTAAAAGAGGCGGAGGAGACGGATCCTCGAATTCAGGTTTCTGATCAATGTAAGAAAGCAATCCTTCGTGTAGCTGAACTCTCTTCAGATGACTTCCACTTGGACCGGCATCTCTACTTTGCGTGCCGAGATGATAGAGAACGATTTTGTGAAAATGTGAGTAGCTTTCTCTTGCCTTCTCTTCTACAGTAATCCATTAAAAAAAAACCCAAAACCACACTGGAAGAAGGAATGGAATGGTACAGTGGAGCCTGAGCAAGATCATGTAATACTGAAAACAGACACCTTGTGGCTTTCATTTTGCAATAAATCTGGTATTAAATTCACTTGTCCAACAAACAACCATTACTTCCAGTGTGTTAATGAACTGAATTGGCATAAATGGTTTAATGGGCGTCAGAGCTGGCGTGAAAGGGAGTGGAATGACTCGAATGGGGAAGAGGCAGCAAAGGTAAGTGACCGCTCTTTTCTACAGCGGTAAGCTGTTGCACAAGGTTAGCCTGGTCTGACTCCTTATCCCTGGCGCGATGAGCTGGAAAGCTGCATTGCTCAGTCTGAATTAGCTTGTATCAGCTGAGCGGCTTGGCACTGAAAGGGTGATGAACATGACCAGATTTTTTTAATGCAACAAAATTTAAAAGATCTTGTAGTATAGAATACATATTTCTAACGACAGTGTGTATATATATTACCTTTAATATATTTCTGCTTTAAAAAAATAAATCTCCTCAGGTGTAATTTAGCCTGCTTGTTAAGCATTACAAGTCTTGTCTTTAATGTATTTCTGTTCTGTTTCAGACTCAGGCTGGGGAAGGCAGAGTCTACAAGTGCCTCTTTAATCACAAGTTTGAAGAATCAATGAGTGAAAAGGTAGGTGTCTGTTTTAGTGAGACAAATCCTTAATGCAGAAATCATCAGATCATTCATCAGTCCAGGCTTCATTGTTCTTTTCTAGTGCTGAGGAAAATCTGTCATCTACATGGTTGGATAACTGACTACTTTCAGATGCTTTTACTTTGATACGTTTATGTTTCCAGCTACGTGCTGATGGCTTGAATTAATTGTGCTCGAGTTACAGCCTTTAAAGTTAAGGATTTAAATAAATCAAAGCTTTTGAGTGGGTAATTTGAGAAGGTAGATGTGGAGCTCGAGTGGTAGCACTGTGATTGAGTGTTTAAAGTAGAAGTCGCACCATGCTGGGGTAAGCCTTGGCTAAATGCTGCCATAATGTACAGATTAGCAACAAAATGCCCAGGTAACTCAGCACAGGAAGCTGTGTGTGTTTCACTTCTGTTTTCAAGGCTATCAGTGTCTGACACTGAAGCAGCAAATTCTGTGGGAAAGATGCACAGGTCAGTTAGTGATGTTTTCCTTAGTGTCTCTGAAGATGTTGTTTTCAACAACAACAAAAAATTGTTCTGGAAAGCCAGACCTGAAAAGAGTTTGTATTGATGTAGGTGTTCTGGGAAGGCAGCGGTGCCTTCAGTGATTTTAGGAGCAGCATTGTAGTGTTTGGGATTATACAGAATTATATCCACTGTGTGAAAGGATATGAAGATGGATATCTGTACAGCCCTCCTTGGAGAAGCTCTGCTGAAGGAGCCAGATTCAGAGGCCTGGAGGGACCAGACTAATTTCCTTTTCTTTAAATGCATTAGCTATCTGAAAGCTTGGTTCCAATTAACAAATTCAAAACAGAGAGTGATCCCTGAGGGCTTAAAACAAAGCTTCATTTTGTACAAGCATGTTACTGAAATGGACTGCTGTTTTTGCTTAACCTGGTTTTGGTTGTACAGGGACAGTGGTGGCTTTTGAAGGGTCTTTTCCATGATCAGCTATCTAAGATATGGAATGTAAGATGTTGAGAGGTTAGGCAAAGCTGTAGCAGATGACTTGGTAGGGAGAGAGGGGTGGATGCTCTGAGGGTGCAGCTTGCAGAGCAGGAGGAACACAAAATGTAGTTCTTGCTCTTGTAGCTGCCAATATTGTACCATCTGCAAAGTCCCCAGTTTTGTAGAAGCTGTTAACCAGTATAAAGTCCCTCCTTGCTGATGGCATTGGCTGTTGCGTACATGTGCAGCCAAAAATAGCCGCCTAGTGTCTGGCTGGCTCTGTGTAATCCAAAACTGCTTTACCAGGATGGGCCTCCCTGGCTGTACCTGACCTACCCTGCTGTGGGGGATGAGGAGTCTGCGAGCCTGTATCTCTCTGTGTCCAGAGCTTTACGTCTGCCTGGTTCCAGTCATGGCACAGAGATGGGAACATGAAGGAGAGGGTGGGAATATCTTGGAGTAGGGCTTTCCAGGTCCTGGAGTAGGTATGAGAAGGAGGGAGAGAAAAGTCAAAAACCTGATGTAAGTAAGGGGAGAGGACTATAGGCCTTCTGTTCCTTGTGCTGAGATTGCTCCCTGTTCTTCCCACCCTACATGTGCACAGTTTTCCTTCCTTTCAAACAGGCTGAGAATGAACAAATTTGTCTGAGGTATTCTGAATTATCTGCCACTCTTGGATTTAGTTTTCCCATAATTTAAACCAAAAGCTGCAAAGCACAGCGATGTTCTTACAGGCCCTTTTTTGGATGAAATTTAGAGGGGGGTTCTTGCAGATGCTGGGTTTGGCCACAGTGCATCCTTGTGAGCCTCACCAGTTGTGGAAGATGGCTAGAAATTCCCATGGTTAGACTGCTTTATCTGCTCTCATCTGTTCGGTGCATTTCAGAACAAACCCAAAGAACACACTATTTCATAAATGCGACTGGAAAAAAGTTGTTTCTTGAGGGCATGGGGCGGAGCGTGTACCACAGCTGCCATAAATGTCAGCAACTGATCTTAGTTACGGAGAATGAGTCATGGTCTCAGCCATAGCTCTTCACAAAAAGCTGGATGAATGTGCAATTTTCAGAAGTGCTCTGCAGAGAGCTGCTGCCTTTAAAACCCCTGATCCATTGACCTCCGTGTGCATTGTTAACTGTGTGGTTTCTATGAGACAAATGGAATTTAAATGCATTAATTCTAAAGCATCGGTCATCTTTTGAAACACAACTTGAAAGCTTAACAGCAGCAGATCTAGTTCTATGCCACCAGCGCGCAGAAGCTCATTCAGCCATCCCAATGGTGTCTCCTGCAGTGCCGTGATGCGCTGACAACCCGCCAGAAGCTGATCGCCCAAGACTACAAAGTGAGTTACTCGCTGGCAAAATCCTGTAAAAGTGATCTGAAGAAGTACCGCTGCAATGTGGAGAACCTTCCCCGGTCTCGGGAAGCCAGGCTTTCCTACCTGTTGATGTGCTTAGAGTCTGCTGTGCACAGAGGTAAGTGGAGTTCAATCAAGAGATGTGTGACTTGCTGGGACCTTGATTTTAAAAGTTCTTGTTGGATCTTTTTGTAAATACATCAACATGTATTTACAGTCCCCATCTGCAAGTAACCTTTTCCAAACTTTCGTTCAGAGGCAAGTTTCCTCATCCTAATGCTTTCATCACTGTTGTTTTGAAGATCAGAATAGCTGAGTAAACCTCTGGCGCCAACTTCTATTGTGTAGGCAAGAAGTTTAAAATGCAAATTAGCAAATCCCACTTGGACTGATGCTGTGTAATTGCAAATCCTTCTAATCACTGTGAATTCAAGCAGCCTTTTTGTCTCCTTTATGTAGTAAGCATTAAATATGCTACTAGGTTCAAACACAGAATAGAGAACCTGTTTATCATCACTCACAGAAAGTCAGGGATACTCAGTCCTCTGCCTCTTGTAAGTAATGTTCTTTCCTTGCAGTTCAGTAGCTTGGGTAAATGCCTGAATTTCTCTAACTCTAGTTTTTCCTATATAGAAGGAAGGTAAGTATGAGAATATTTCTTGTGTTCATTTAAGTTAGTGTAAGCTGGAGATGTCCTAACACCAGTGGCTGTCCCAAAGGCATTAGAGTACCCTACATGGCAGGACCATTCTAAAGGTTCTTTGGGAAATTGCTGTAACATGTAAAACAACACGTTATATCCTCTAGAGCTGCACTGGAGAATTGTTTGCTTTCTCCCTTGGCATGCAGCTGGGTGGTTTCTGATTCAGCAGTAGGGCTGCATGCTGCAACGGCCCTGGCACGGGAGGGAAAGGCTGCCTAACACAATAAGCTATTTGTGCATTTGTGAATTTGAATAACTCATTGCTTTTGATTGACGTGGAAATGATGTGTGTTGTTTGTGGAAAAGTTGTGGGTTTCTTTTCCTTCTTCCTGCAGTAGGGCAGGTGCTTTGCTGGATTATATGCAGAAAACTGCTGTTCCGTTATTAACTTCCACTTTCACGGTGGAACAGGTTCTGCAGTGTGTGGCTCGTGCATGAAGCGTAGCCCAGGAGGAACACTAGTTATTCCCCACACTCCACGTGTCTGTGTTATAATGCCTGGGAGCCCCTGTTGGGGTATAGGGCCTCTGTTGCATGGGGCATTGGACACGTATGAATAGGTTGTGATGGGGGCTAGGGGAAGGGCACAGCAAAAAAAAGACCTGTTCCTTTTGATTAAAAAAAAACCCAACAAACTGTCTACATGGGGACTGTAGGAAAGCTTATTGATTAAAGTTAGATTTCGGTGCAGCTGCAGTGGTTTGTTAGACATTCTGTATATACTCTTGGTAACGTATTCCATTCTGTATTTTGGCTTCCTGAGTAAGTATGTGCTATTGCTGTAGAAAACCTTTTTCTCAGAAAACGTTTAACATGGTGTCCAAATTCCTCCCCCAATTACATATCAAGCTGCTGAATTACCAGAGATGACTTTCATTTCTGCAGTGGAAAAAGGAGCCCCTGAGCATATGGGGAAGAGCTGACCTGACCTGTGCTACAGAACTGCAGATCTGCTAAGTGTTTTCTGCTGTTCTTCAGAAGCAACTTCTATAATGTGAAACGCAAAATAAGATTCTTTTAATCTTTCAGGAATCCTTTTTGCAAAACCATGCCTGAATCCATAGACTAGCTATTTTACAGGTTCAGTTAAATGACGGGAGCTACCATAACTCGTTTAATCCCTAGCACATCCACTCTAGCACATTTGTTGTGATCTGGTGTTGTCCAGAGTGTGGACATTGTCCTGTTTTTTCCAGATGATAGTAGCATAGGTCAAGAAGGGCTCTGCTAAGCATTAATACTAAATCACATTGTATTCTCTCGGCTCAGGTCGACAAGTGAGCAGCGAGTGCCAGGGTGAAATGTTGGATTACCGGCGCATGCTAATGGAAGACTTCTCGCTGAGCCCAGAAATCATCCTGAGCTGCCGAGGGGAGATCGAACACCACTGCTCAGGCCTGCATCGGAAGGGTCGCACCCTGCATTGCCTGATGAAAGTAGTACGGGGCGAAAAGGGAAACGTCGGGCTGAATTGTCAGCAGGCAGTAAGATGCTTTTCTGTCACTTCGCTTTGAGGTTGCTCAGTTGGTAGAAGCACCAATTTGTCTGTTAACGTTTTGCCATGCGATGGAAATTTCTCATGAAGGCAATCTGGCTCTGCCAGCTACTAGTGAATGCTGGAGGCAGTTGTGTAATTGTCATGGTATGAAGTGTAACTTGGTATCTAGCAGCACATCAGTAATGCTTTTTTCCTCAAAAAATACATTTTGGATTGTTTTGCTCTGGATTTTGTACTGGATCTCCAGTAGCTCTCAAGTCATGGCACTCTCTCCTGGGTGCAAGATGTGGGGAAAGTTGCTTTTTTATAAATTTTAAAATATTCCCTCTCCTTCCCTTTTTCTGCCCTCTGCCCTATCTTTGGAAATGCACTAAATCTTCTCAAAGCACCTTTCCTCTCAGTTTTTTTGCTGTTTCATTCAGCTTAAACGGTGGAAATGGAACTTCAGGGACAGGTAGGTACAACATCGTGCTGCACTTCGTTGTAGTTGCAGCTGGTGAAGAAAATGTTGTTCTTCTCCCAATCCCTCTTTAAAATGGGATGATTCTTTTTGCCCTTTTAAAACTCCATTCTTGCCCAGGTGCATCCTGTTTGTAGTCTCTTTAAGTTGAAAACAATTCGTTTTTGTTTGAACTCATTAGTTCTCTCAATAGTTTTTTACTCTCAATAGTTTAAAAAACTCTCAATAGTTTTTTAAACAATTAGTATTTGTTTGAACTCATTGGTGTTTTTTAATGTAATACTACATTTTTGTACTTAATACTTGCTTTTAAAGACCCTTCAGCCTGTGTGAGATGAGCCTGGAAAAGGCTAGGAAGTGTTAGTGCTGATGTAGGAATTTGGGGAGATGAGTGTTCTTGGCCTCCTGCAATATACAGAACCACTGTAGTCCTTTTTCAGTGTAAATGTAGCTTAAAGCCTGAGCTGAAAATGTTGCCAGTTTGTGTATGTTATCAAAGATAAATAAATATCTGTTGGATTTTTGTAAGGCATAGGATGCTTTTGTGATGAAGTTTATTTCTGCATAAATACCAGGTGTATTGGTGCAGCAGACGAACAGTTTGAGTCATTTGTGAGCTGTAGTGCCTGACCTGCTTTGTGACATTTGTGTGAAACACTTAACACTTGTTTCTGTTTAAATATGAAATTAAACTTGCTGCCTTAGAACTTGATTATTTGCAAATTTCCAGAAGATCAGTTCACCTTGGAAGTAACTTCCAGATCATGAAGCATATGTTCAGAACAAGTCAGAAGTCAAGACAGGGGATGCCCAAAAGTGATAAGAGATTTTAGACTTTTTGGGGAAAAGGAATGTCTGTAGAAATTTATAGGGTGTTTTTTTTTCTCCCAGTTCTGTTATACTTAGAAGCTTCTGCTTTATTTTAGTACAGTAAGTTGATGCAACGGCAGGGCTTGACCATGACTCCCCTTGAAGTTGAATGACGTGTTTTGTTCTCCAGATGGCAGGAGCAAATTAAGTGTTGATTTTATAAAATGATTTGTTTGTCCATATTTATATGCACAAGAAGAATAGGTGATTGCAAGAATAGGATAAACATTCCAGTGCTCTGAGTTTCTGAGGACTGGCGCGGTGCTCTTATATAGCTGCCTACAACTTCTGAGGTAGTAATTTATTGTTGATATTTTTCTATGTGAATGGTAATGGTTGTCTCGGCTGTCACTGGTTTTGTTGTCTTTTGATACATTGTGTTAGAATGAGCTTCTTGTTCTTACCTTCTATGGTAGGTAAATTATCTTCGTAAGGAAGAGCATATTATCTGAAACCCTTTCAGATACTGTGCAGCTTGTGCAAGAGACTCAGGCTTACCTGTCATATGAGATTGGTCCATACAACAGGCTGTGAGGAAGGCAAGTTAGAGGTCCATCCCTTGATAGTAGATGGAACTACTTCATTTCCTCTTGGATACCGAGAGAACACCTTTGACGTTGCTTCTGCTGAGCCACTGCTGCTTTTCTGAGGCTGATTTTTCAGCTGCTTCATTGCCATGTGTCAGTATAGTTCAGTCTTTGAGACATGGTCTCAGAAGTGCTGCTTTGGTAAATTCATTTATGGGGGAAAGATTGACCTGTGTCGGGGCTTTCAAAAACTAGTAAGCGGACTGCATTAAAGAGCACGGACTGTTTTGCTTTGGGGTTTTTTTTGTCTATAATGTAATGTTGGTGAGAGCTCCTATCACTTTGTACATCCAATGGCTTCTCATCTGCAGATAGAATGGCTGCTTCAGACATCTAGCTTGCTTGCTTCCTGGTTACTGCTTGGACCACATGGCTTCAGCCCAAGTCCAGCTAGACCAAAGCTGACTGATGTTGGTCCTTGTTTTCTGATGTTCTTGGGCAATTCTTATTGCAGGAACACAGTGCTGATGCTCTCAGATTGAACTTTGATGTGGCTGTTGATGGTGGGACTACTGGTCTGTGGCATCTTTACCTTATCACCTGTGGAAACAGAGCAAAAACGGTTGCTTTGGTGTAGTCCCAGCAGAGCTGGCTGCAGAGCTTTGGGCCCATCTTCAGTTTTTTCTTTGTGGAGTCAAAAACTTGTGCCCCCATGCTTTTAGTAGCATCATGAGGTAATGCTAATACAGCACGTTGATTTCTTAGCTAGCTCAAAGCAGGTCCTGAAATTCTTCATTGCAGAAGCTGCACAACCAGACACACTTGCCTAGATGGTTTTCTTGAGGAAGTTGGAATGGGAAACATCTAATTTGGATCTGGTCTTACTTATTGTCCTGTCTGTTAAGGTTTGGTCTGATTTTGCTTGCCTTATGAAAGGAAGATGTTTGCCCATCTGCCAAAAACACCACCAAAAAATCCCGCAACAACAAAACATAACTGAAGAACCTGCATGATTTTATTTTCCTGCAGGAACATCTGCTCATACCCTTTCCTGCATGAGGAACATGAGTCATTCTTTGTACTTAAAACTGTCAACAAAATGCCTTCTCAAATCTTCTGAAACCCTGACTTCTTGGTGCAAGGTTTCATTTCTTGTGACACTTCAACCAGGATGATCTCACATATTTGAGTCTGTGCTTGTGGAGGCGTGCTTAGACCCAAATGGGTGAGAGATGTGTGGTTTTTTGTCTCCATTTTGATCTGTGAACTTGCCAAAAAGCCCAAGTTCTGTCAATGGTAGAAGAACAATGACTTTTTTAGCCCCTTCTAAGAGCTATTTGCGGTTTGACTTTGCCGTCTTGGAGCGCTCTGCCTGTTCTGAAGCAAAGGATAGAGCGCCTATTATTTATGCTATTGGTGTACTTCTATAGGGGCATGCATTTTATTAAGGAAAAAAAAATCATCAGAAGGAGATACGACTTCTGGAGCATGTCTTCCCATGTGAAACAAGCTGCACTTTGCTTTGGGGAAGTGTATACAGCTTGGATGTGTTCCAGACATTAAATGGTCTTCTGCAGATACCATTGTTACGTTATGTTCTTCAAAGATGGAGATTCTGAGTGTAGGGAGAGGTGGGTCTGTGATGCTGTAGGCCATCAGACAGCAGGTATATATGTCCCTTAATTGTGAGCATCAGCCATAAAAGCTCTACAGCTGTACTGGTGGTGTCTAGCACCTGTGGTGTTGCTTAGTGGAAGCAGTATTTTATACTAGAGCTGCTGGGAAACTGTTTTTCAAATGTGGCTTTTATATTTCTCTGGTCTCATCTTTGTTTTTTTCTATTGAGTCCCTTGAGCAGGTGAAACTATAATCCTTGCTAAAAGGACAGATATTTCAGCTTCCAATTTCTAATACAGCTAATTGATAGTTATTAATTGTTAATTTAGCTCTGCATCAGGGTAAAAGTTCAGAAGATTATAAAGTTTATCAATCTGCTTTTCAGCTGCAAGTGTGTGTTGTGAGAGGGAGGAAAATCCTATATTTTATCACCGGTGCCAAATTATTCCCTTGACCCTGCAGTCAGGGCAGCCGGCTAGCTGCTGCACATCTTGCATGTGGTTGAGGATCAGGACTGGGGATCTTGCAGTTGTGCCCAAAACAGGACAGAGAGACTAGGAGGCAATCTGGTGCTTCCAAGCTGGCGTACTCAGTGCACTTTGGCCTCTTCCCTTTGATAGCAACACAAATACCGCTTAAACTGAGACCTGAGGAAGAGTCCTGCCTGTATAATACTCTGGCCAGTTTATTTAATCTGTGTGTAAGGCAGTGTCAGGTTTGCAGTTTTATTCACCCAGTTGTCCTTGGGGGACTAATTCTAGTAATCATACTTGATCCCTTTTTATTGTAAACATCTGAGTATTGCCCATCTGTTCAGACTCTGAATGCGCATGTGCACACACACCATCAGAATGACTATATTCTTCTCCCGCTTGCATTGACTTTTATGAAGTTTGTAAAGGACTTAACCTGGAGAAGTGAGAAGTGCGTAGTTCCCTGTTATGAACTGGATCCTGTATTGGCTTCTGTTTGACCACTGTCAGTCTTGTATAAAATGTTTCTTTTATTATTATTAGGGTTTTTTAAGTGAAAATATCCCAAGAATTTTTAACTCAACAGCTTGTGCCTGCTAGGCAGCACCCTTCCAAGCTGCCTGTATCCCTTAGAAGCTGAGGCTGGGTACAATTACCTTTGGCCAAGAGCAAGTTGCAGAAAATCCTGCGTTCCTCCCAAGCAGTCTGTGGTCTGTCCTCTCGATTACATGCTTCCTATTGGATAAATAGTGCTAGCTTGCATTTTCTCTGGTTCTCTGATGCTTTTCTTTTTTTTTTTCTCTCTCTTTTTTTTTGTGATGTTAGGGCTTTGCCCCTGGAAGTTTCCTGGGTGGTGTTTGGGTTCAGACTTTGAAAGGTGGAAGATAAAATTGTAACTGTGCTTTTGATTTAACTGTGCTTTTACTGGGCTACGGGCCAGTAACAAAAATCATTAAGTAAGTGTCAAGATGTTAACGGTGTAGACCATTTGATGTTGGTGTGCCGTTGCCTTCTAAGCAAGCTCACTTTTTTGCTCCAAATTTGTCAGCTGAAAATGCCTTGTTGAATGGTGATACCAGTCTGCCCTATGTCAGTCTTTGGGAATTCACAGCTTGGTGAATTGAATTGGGAAATGAAGTGAGACATGGGGGTCTTGGGCTGAGCGATGACCCAGAAGGCTACCCTTCTGAAAACTATAGAGTAAGTGAGATGATGAGATTTATCCGAGCTCTGTCCCTTGGCCCAGCAGATGCCTCCCAAATTCATGTTCAGATGTCGTGGGCTGTGTGAAAATGACCCATCTGGATCCGATTTTGAAGCTCAGTGCTCTGGATGTTAAATTATGTTTCCTTATTAATAAGAGACAGTGTTTTTTCTGAAGCCTTAATCAGAGTAACTGTTTCACGAGAAGAAAGGACTTGATGAAACTGTTCATACTGTGTTTACCTATGACAATTGAAAGTATTTAGAAGTCACAGAAGGAGTGCAGGGATATCACAGCTTCAAGCTCACACACCTGTTCTCTAAATCTTTGGAAAGTTTTTTGTTTTCATCTTATACCATTGCTTCTCTTGAGTAGATAAAAACTAATGCCATGGTTTTGTTACATGTGTGTATGGTATAATACTGTATATAATTTCATAATAATGTTTAATAATTATATTGGGTTTATCTTTTTTGTATTAAAAAATGTTTAATGTAGACGAAATTGTGGTTACTCTGGCTTCCAAAAGCTTGAGTGGGTATACTGGAGGAAATGATATTGCATGGGCCAGCAGAACGGGAGATTTTTATCCTGTATTTCAGAGAAACTTTTGTGTCTTCTCCAGGCAATTAAAAAACGTTTTTTAAGCTTTCTTTGTAGTTAGACAACTGGTCTTTAAACATTGATTTGGGTTTCAGTCTAGAACAGTAGATAGTCTTCATGGAAGTGTGACAAATTTACATGTGTGGTATCATCAGCCTTATGGGATGAGGGTGGATGAAGAATATAATATTGAAACTTTACCAGTTCCATTTTGTAAATCGGGATATAAGTGGTCCAGGACCACGGTTGACCTTCAGTGTGTGACCAGTCTCCCCTGATGTTCCTGGGAAGCTTCGTAAGGATAATTAGGGTTCAGCAGCACTTGACTCCCATGTCTGGTAATTGAGCTGGTAGCACAAGCACTTGAAATAAGCAACTGCAGAGCAGAGGTCATACCTAGTAGTGTTGTTATTGGCATAGAATTGCCATGCTGAGAAGTTGTAAGTTCTCTCATATTAATTATTATAATTTGTTTTCCTACCCACAATTTCTTGCAGCTTCAAACACTGATTCAAGAAACTGACCCTGGTGCAGATTACCGCATTGACCGAGCATTGAACGAGGCCTGTGAATCAGTGATACAGACTGCCTGCAAGCACATACGGTCTGGAGACCCAATGTAGGTGGCTCTCAGAACTGATTTGTGTTTCTGTTGAGCATCCATGAAGGTTTTGTGGCTGGCCAGTATAGATACTAAAACCTGTGCAGAAATGACGGACTCCAAACTAGTAATTCATACAGGGTTGGAGTTGTGAACTGGGCTCTGTCTTCGGTCTTGCCATATAAGCAGGCTAGTATTTTTATAACAGGGATGGTTTAGCACTGGTGAAGGGCATAGCTGTCTCAGGCATATAGATTAAACTTGCAACATTTGATGTGCTAATTTTTCTTACTACATAAGTCTGTAGCAATATCACAAAGAAAAGTAACAAGCCTTGAAAGGCCAGTTAAGCAAACATATACTGCAGAGACAAAAGTCTCCTTTCTCTTCAGATCTGAGATATATTGTCTCCTGAGCCAGATTTTATATAAAATATTCCTTATGATTTTGTCGTATATGGGGCTTCCTGAGATAACTAAAACAATGGAATTTAAGAGGATGCAAATGTGGTATGTACTGTTGTTTTAGATGTAATATTTTTGAAGGAAGAGAAAGATCTTCACTGTGTTTGAACATCTCTGTGGTTCATTGGGAAGACTGATTTGTCAACACCAGCTGTTTTAGGGAAGCTCAGCACGACTATAACAGCCTGTTGCATAACTTTTTTCCTCTGTTTGCAGGATTCTGTCTTGCCTCATGGAGCACTTGTATACTGAGAAGATGGTAGAGGACTGTGAGCACAGGCTCCTGGAGCTCCAGTATTTTATATCTCGTGATTGGAAGTGAGTACTGTAAAACAAGATTTATCTTCATCTGATGCTTGTAGGCATTAGCAGTTCCTTGTAAAACGGTATAGGTTATGCTTGTTCAAAAGAGGACTTTCCAGTATGCCAGGTCTGTAGGGCATTAATGCCTTTCTAGAACAGTAGGAGCAAAAGCTTAGAAAAAGTAAGTGTGGTGCCCACTTAAGTCAGGTACTCACATAGAAATGATGCAACCCTAAAAAACATCTCAAGCTTGAACTCTGAAATTCAATGCATCTTTAAAAGAAGTCTCTCTGGCCATATTGAAGTTGAAGGTCACTTTCTGTGCAGATGGCAGCCAGTTTTATATGCTCTGAGCAATACAATATGGAAGTGAAGGAAACCAAGCTACTAAACATAACAAAGACACACTGTGTGAGAGGCTCCTTGCTTCCATGTCTGCCTTGTTTCAAATTCTTCAGGCATGATTACAGTCTGTAGAGCAGATGTAATTCCCTTTTGGAGCACTGCTTTTCCAACTTTCTCATCCAAAGATGCCAGTGCTTTGTTTTAGATATATACAGAGCCCTTTGTGTCTGTGTGGGTTAAGATGAAGAGAGTGTAAATTTGATAAACATGACCTGTGAGGAAAGAATAAGTGTTTGGCTCTTCTGCAGAAGATTGAGAGGTGAGGAGATAGAGTACATCAAATGGGGTTACTTCATGAAATAGAATAATTGTTCTTGGTGACCACAGGGAGTGTAAGGCAAGAAGTCACAGGCTTTGACTGCTGCAAAGGGTATCCAAATCAAACATTAAGAAAATCTGACTCTTAGCTGTGTATATGGGCAGCATTGTCAGTAGTTAAGAGTGGACGTGCTCTGTGAACCTTCTGCTTTTAAAGTACATGGGGTTTCATGAACCAGATAGTTCAGGGCCTTGTGGCTGTTTATTGAGTCATCTCAATAACTGTCTCCATAGGTAGACAAGAATACTGTTAGTTTTCTTCTTCCTCTTCCTGTTGCCCTTCACTGCTGGTTCTCCTGCCTGTGCTATGTTTCCAGCAGGTAATTAATTGCTTGAGCCAAACTTAAATGATTGGAAGTAGTAAGACTGAGTATTTGCATTTTGCTAGGAGTAGGGATAATTCTAATTCATATTGCAGGCTGGGCAACGTTAGCTCATCTTTCTTGTTTAACCACTGTTTCCTTAAAATTAGCTTATAAAAACTGTGGTATTAACTGTGCACAGTCAATGCACACAGATGCATAGAGTAGAAATGGTTTTACTACTTTTCGTCATTATCTATGTGATTATGTCCACTGATACCGCTTGATGTTTGCCTTCTAAAGTGTTGTAGATACCTGAAGTTTCCATTTTGGAAAGTTGTCAATATCTCAGCTGTAATGTAATTGGACGTCACCTTAAGAGATCTGCACTTGCAGTTTTCTTGTATGCAAAAGCAAGGGGTGCTGAGTCTTCAGTTAGCTCAAATCCAGAGCAGACAATAATTAATCTAACTCAGATTTTTATGAAACTGGCATTTCAAATGGCAGCAGTACAAAGTACATGTAAGGTGTTCTACAAACAAAACATGGTATGTAACTGCCTTTCTGCTGCTTTAGGACATCAAGGAGACTGATTCTTTTCTCATGTGTCAGTATTTGGCTGGCATGCTGCAGAAGAGAATGGCGCTTCAAGAAGTGTTGAAAATTTAATCTGTAATTAAAGATCTTAATGTATTTTTGAAACATGAGGGAGTTGATTCCAAATTGAGTGACAGGCATTTTGCCACCTGTTGGTTCAGTTGGTTAGACACTGCTGCTAAATGATGTGGTGGTGTATGAAACTTGGAAGTAGATTTTTCTGCCTCAAAAGCATTTCAGCATATGAAAAACATGAAAGGTTTGAATCAAGTTCTAGTGATAACTTTTCTGTTTGCAGATTGGATACAGTCCTTTACCGCAAGTGTCAGGGAGATGCCTCCCGTCTCTGCCATACCCATGGCTGGAATGAGACTAGTGAGCTGATGCCTCCAGGGGCTGTTTTCTCCTGTTTGTACAGGCATGCGTACCGCACAGAGGAGCAGGGAAGGAGGGTGAGTGCTGGAGTGCAACTGATTTGTGATAGAAGGGTTGTACGTATGTTTGGAAGATGGACACACTGTGCTAAAACTGCAAGAACTTGCAAAAGCTACTTGAAAGCGTTTACCATAGGTGGTACTTGCAGTGCTTCGGATGCCCAACTCCTCTTCAAGTGTGCCTTGAAGGTCTATGTTGTTGTTCTGGTAAGGCAAAATAGCCACATCAAGATGTGACAGTTGCCTGCAGGGGGAACTGTGTGCTGACCACAGCTTACATGTATCTGCCTAGACACACTGCAAGTCCTTCCCCTTGTCTTTCCAAAAAGGGACAAAATCAGAAAGGCAAAAGCCCAGCTAGAGCTCAGTCTGGCCACAGTCGCAAAGGATAATAAAAAATGTTTTTACAAATATATTAGCAAGGAGGAAGAGGCAAGGAGAATCTCCATCCCCTACT